CGGGCTGGGGATTCGAACCCGCCACCTTAGGTGTATGTGGCTGGCGCCTTAGCCGGTTAAGCTATAGGCGCCAAGCCTCCTTCCACATATTTTAAAGGAAGAATTTCTTTTTTTTTCTAAGAGATGGAGTCTCTATTGCCCTTGGTAGAGTGCCATGGCATCACGCAGCTCACAGCAACTTCCCAAGTAGCTGGGACTGCAGGCGCCCACCACAACGCCTGGCTAGTTTCTTGTTGCAGTTTGGCTGGGGCCAGGTTCGAACCTGCCACCCTTGGTATCCCACTGAGCCACAGGCATCACCCAAGGAGGAATTTCTTAAATCTGCCTCCCAAGAATTGGTGGGATAGTTTGGTGGGCAGGGGATTATGTAATTAGGTTTGCTAATTGGCTAAGTTTGAGGCAAAATTATAGAGATCTGTGGGCAGTGCCTGTGGCTCAGTGAGTAGGGCACCGGCCCCATATACCAAGGGTGGTGGGTTCAAACCTGGCCCTGGCCAAACTGCAACAAAAAAATAGCCAGGCATTGCAGAAGGTGCCTGTAGTTCCAGCTACTCGGGAGGCTGAGGCAAGAGAATCACCTAAGTCCAGGAGTTGGAGGTTGCTATGAGCCATGTGATGCCATAGCACTCTACCGAGGGTGATAAAGTGAGACTCTGTCTCTAAAAAAAAAAAAAAAAATTATAGAGATCTGGAAATCACCTTAGAGTAAGGGTCCTGGGGTGGTGAGAATGAGCTGGGGAGAGAGGAAGGCCTGAGACTTGGGAATTCAGGGATGAGGCCTGGGAGGAAGGCAAGTTCCCCAGGAATTAGGGGGTCCAGACTCTTGTTTTGCTTCAGCTCCTGGGGTCATAATTCCAGGCCAGTCAGTTTGTTGGTATCTCAGCCACTGGTCTGGGCAAGTTAGTCAATTCACCTGAATGCGGGCCCTGAAGATATCTTAGAAACTACCTTTAGGGTTCCAAAAGGTGATGTTATGGAGAAAAGAATCTTAACAGCTACCAACTATGTGGAAAAAGTTAAGAATCTTTGTAACCACCAGTTAGAAGCAATTGGAGGACAGTGACTATTATTGAGCAAATGAAGGGACAGTAGCTGATTATTATCATTATTTTAGCTAAGCCTGTTCCTTCACAGAGTTTTGGGGCCCTTACTCTAGAATTCACCTTGAACCCCTTCATCAATTTGTAAGGGCAGTTTCAGATCCACACACTCTCTTGTCATCCTCACTTCAATTCTATTAAATATATTCATTTTCAGCTTGGCGCCTGTGGCTCAAGTGGCTAAGGTGCCAGCCACATATACCTAAGATGGCGGGTTTGAATCCAGCCCGGGTCTGCCAAAAACAACAATGACGGCTGCAACCAAAAAATAGCCAGGCGTTGTGGCAAGCACCTGTGGTCCCAGCTATTTGGGAGGCTGAGGCAAGAGACTTGCTTGAGCCGAGGAGTTGGAGGTTGCTGTGAGCTGTAATGCCACAGCACTCTACCCAGGGGGATAGCTTGAGGCTCTGTCTCAAAAAAAAATATATATATATATATATATATTCATTTTCCAGAGTCCAAAGTAGGTTTTCCTCAAAGTTAGGGTAACAATTATGACCCAAGACTCTAGTCTTTGTTTTTTTGAGACAGAGTCTCAAGCTGTCGCCTATCACCCTGGGTAGAATGCTGTGGCATTACAGCCCACAGCAACCTCCAGCTCTTGGGCTTAGGCAATTCTCTTGCCTCAGCCTTCCAAGTAGCTGGGACTACAGGCACCTACCACAACACCTAGCTATTTTTTTGTTGTTGCAGTTGTCATTGTTCTTTTTAGCTGGCCCTGGGCCTGGTTTGAACCCTCCAGCCTTGGTGTAGGAGGTGACTAGAGTCTAGTCATTGAATGTTGGGGGACCCTCCCTCTTCTGCCATTACCTTATCCACTGTAGAAACCAAGAAATGTTTGTGAAAGTAATGAATGAATGAATGATGACTCTAGTCAAACTGCCCTTCTACAGATAGACAAATTGAGTCTGCCCCCAGGAGAATGGGGACTGAGGAAACACTGGTAACAGAAATCTACTGTATTGCAGGGGAAGAGGGCCTGGTTCCCCAAGGATGGCTTAGCCTCAGCTTGGGACCACCCTGGCATGCCACCACCTCACCATGATGCAACAAGAGGCAAGCAGTCTCTTTAAGAAGAAGAAAAAATAGATGATCTAATGCATACTGTCTAAAAGAAAAACTCAAATCAATTCAAGGTGGGGGGCAAGGGAATGAAGGAGTGAGGAGAGGGGAGAGGGATGGGGGTTACTGTGTATGGCATACCTCTTAGGGGCGGGACACAATTATAAGAGGGACTTTACCTAACAAATGCAATCTGTGTAACCTAATTTTTTGCACCCTCAATGAACCCCAAACAATTAAAAAATAAAATCAGGGTTTACAAGAATGTATACTGCTGGGCGGCACCTGTGGTTCAAAGGAGGCACTGGCCCCATATACCGGAGGTGGCAGGTTCAAACCCGACCCCAGCCAAAAAAAAAAGAATGTATACTGTTGTGGGAAAATGCTTCGATTTCAAATATAAGTACTATGATTAAAAAAAGAAGAAAACGTTATGAAATGTATGTGTGGGTGTATAATGATTACTGTATAATTCTTTCAACTGTACTATATGTTTCCAAAATTGCCTAATAAAATAATGGAAAATTAAAAAGAAAAAGAAGAAACCCCGCTCCCTGATGCCCTACTGCGATCCCGCCCCCTCCCTCAGTTTGAGAGGCTCCCGCACCGCCTGTGGGTGAGTGGCAAGTTTGGTGGCCAATAGCAGCGAGAAAGGCCGAGGGCAGAGCGGGCGCAGGGATGCTCTGGCTTGTCCGCAGTGGAGGGACGCAGTGCCCATCTCAAGCCTCCTCTTTTTTTTTTTTTTT